ATAAGATGCACCCAAATTTCCACCCTTCTCTAGGGGGGCGAAGGTGCATCTTATACTTTGAAAAATACAGTATATAGGATGGGATGCCACTGGGCGGGTGGCAGGCCTGGCTGGCGGTCGGAATTACCGGTTCGCCTAAACCGGTCTGAACTGACAGTGGCCCACCTCTGGTTGCAACAGTTGAGTTCCTGACAGCCTGGAGGACATACAATCCTACTTAGAACCCTCATCAGCTTCAGACGTCCCTCTTTCCTCCCTTCTGAGACCCCTGTCACTCACGTTATCAGCCGTGATCTGGAGCTCTGTGGGGCCAAGCTTGTCTTCAAATCATCTCCCGCGGCCTCTCGGGCTTGCGACTCCAGGATCTCGTTGAGACTGTTCTCTGCGGAAGGACAAGAATCAGCTCCTACGGTGGACAAGGTCTTGCTGCCCGGCTTGAAAGGGTCACCCACGTCCAAATGATAGGAACGTTTTGTGAGCGTGGGAGAATCCTGCAAAGAGGAGCTGCCCACAAAGGGGTTAAAGGCAGGGTCATCCCATTGGTTGGTGTCCGCCAGGGGAGTCGCTCTGGTCAGAGGTGCCACCGATGTTTCAGTCGCTATTGTCTTCTCTCCATCCTCGGGACCTACAACAGGTCGGGTGGCCCTTTGTCTCTTAGGAGACAACTTACTGCTTGGCCTCTTCCCCATTTTTCTTGCTGGGAGCTTCTTGGGCTCGGCGTTTTCTGCTTCTTCGGCAAAATCAAACTCTAGTTTCACGGCCCTGGTCTTGCAATCTCCAGCTCCCGCTGAGCTGGGATGCTTGGGGTCACTATGGGGAAGATCAGCACTTGGCCGAGAAGCAGGGGGCGAGTTTGGACATTTGGAGCCTCCCATCCTAAAGGGGTTCACAGTCTCATTGTATTCCTCTGGATCGAAGTGGTAGGTAGCTTTGGGAATAGGGGGGCTTTCGGTAGTCACTTCAGCCTCGGAGTTCTCTCCCCCCATTTTCTTTTGAAGAGCGATGGGTTTCGCCCTCGGGAGCTTGCTCTTATTACTAGCAATATTCTCAACACTTGACTTGACTTCTGAAGGTTCTTGAATGGGGATGTCTTGGCTTTCCTTCAAAATGTCCCTTTGCTCCTCTCGGGACGGCGTGCCTGACGTGTGGTCTGGGTTGAGCCTCGCTGGAACCGTATTCTCCTCTGTAGCCTCTAATGGAGAAGAAGACACGGATGAACCCTGCTCAATGCCAAGGTGGGCTTTTGATATAAATGCGTCGCTGGCTTGCACATCTGCAGAGTCAGTCTGCAATTCATCCTCTGCTGAAGCTGATGTCTCCTCCAAAACTTTGGAGACAAACTGGTCTTCCAGAGATGCTGCACGGAGAAGAGAGAAAGAGAGAGGTAAATGTAGAATATGTTTCTTTTAGGAAAAAAATCAGATCAATAGTATTTATTTATTTATTTGGCATGTGATATAATTCATGGATAGCCGGGAAAGAACGCATCATAATAATTCCCACATGAGATGCAGATGTGTGGTTGATTGTGTAAGGTACAAGAGATTCAAGAATTTATAAAGTTACAAATTACATTTTAAAATGCACTGGTTCATAGGAATGAAATAAGCGTGCTGTATCTAGGTCCCAAGGTNCCTCATTTTACCCACCTCGGAAGGATGGAAGGCTGAGTCAACCCTGAGCCGGTGAGATTTGAACCGCTGAAATGCAGATAGCAGTCAGCTGAAGTAGCCTGCAGTACTGTACTCTACTCACTGTGCCACCTCGGAAGAGCAAATGAGAATTATTGTGGGTAAATGGTGAGAAAAATCGATACAATATTGGATAATATAGAATAGTCATTGTTAAGATGTAATGGTATACTTGTGGATATTTATATGAAAATAAAAATTTAAAAACTTTGGGGGAAAAAAACGAAGTGAACTTTCCCAGATTTCAACTGGCTTCCAAGCCAACACCCCAATGGAGCACTCCACTCTCCTCTGGATAGTATCCTTGGAGACCTTATCAGCCGAGCCCCTGAGTATGTCTGGATGATTAAAACCAGACCCGAGAAATGTCTCCTCTCCTGCTTTTCCCAGGCTCTTCCCAGCCCGCCACCTACAGATAGCACAGGGCGACCAATGGCTGCCCTGCTGGGGAACATGTGGCCCGGGATCTCGTTGCTGTATTAGGTTTTGGGGGGGGGGTCCCTCGTCTCAACATCTGGATCCAACTAGCAGCAGCCAATGCGGTTGTGACTGGAACGGAGCGGGCCTTCGTTCCTCCATCCTTACGTCCAACGAGGTAAACGCCTTTCCAGCTTCTAAGAGATAAAGGTGAGGTCCAGAGCAGATGCTTTCGTGGCTGCCAGTAAGGACACAACAGAGATAAAACACAGAAAGAGGAGGGGGTAAGAAATCCAATTTTGGGGGGGCAATAGAGAAACAGTGCATTTTGCTGTACTAATTCCAGCCAGTTGGAAAATCTCTGGAGAATCACACACCGCACATTTACGACCAGTTGCGAAGAGGGTGCGGTGAGCCAGGATGACAACTTTGAATGCCACCATGAAGTTAGCCAGTTTGGTCTAGTTGTTAAGGCACCCGGCTAGAAATCATGAGACATCATGAGTTCTAGCTCTACCTTTGCCATGAAAGCCAGCAGGGTGGTTTTGAGCCAATCACCAGGAGAGAGTAAGTTGCAGTGCCACCTTAGGCATGAAAGCCAGTGCTGAGCCAATCACCAGGAGATAGTGAGTTCTAGTTCTGCCTTAGCTATGAAAGCCAGCTAGGTGACTTTTGGTCAATCACCAGGAGACGGTGAATTCCAGTTCTGCCTTAGCCATGAAAGCCAGTTGAGTGAGCCAATCACCAGGAGACTGTTGAGTTCTAGTGCCATTTTAGGCATGAAAGCCAGCTGGGTGAATTTGGGCCAATCACCAGGAGATGGTGAGTTCTAGTTCATCTCTCTCTCTCTCATCTATCCATCTCTCTCCTATCTCTCNGCATACAAATAAAGTAAAATAATAAATAAATAATAAATAATAATAATAAGAAGAGAAACCTCTTCAAAAAGAAAAAAAATAAGAAAGTCCAGTTGCTTCCCGAAAAAGAAAAAACACCTTTGGGACAAACAAACGTTATAAACGGAAAATTAATAACATTTGTTTTTCATTTAAATGTTATTAATCCATCCTTTATAACTTCATATTGTTGCAGCGGCCATATTCGAATAGAATAGAGGTGGAAGGGACCTTGGAGGTCTTCTAGTCCCACCTCTTGCTCAAGCAGGAGACCCTCTACCATTCCAGATAAGTGACTCTTCTTAAAAGCCTCCCAGTGAGGGAGCACCCACAACTTGTGAAGGCAACTGGTTAATTGTTCTGTCTTCTTAATTGTTCTCCTCAATTCCAGCTTCCTTAATTCTGCCTGTCAACTCAGAGCATCCTCTCCGCATTCTCTATGTTCGGTTAGATAAAATAATGCTTCAGTTCAGTTTATGCAAACTCTAATTTCCATGCAGCGTCGCCCGGATGTTTTTCTGCTGTGTTCCCAGCAACGGGCAGCCGTTTTATTTATTTCTTTTAACCCAAACTTAATTATATGATAAGGCAGCCCTGGCTGCCCTTCGCCTGCAAGCTAATTTCTGTTATTCTAATCTTGGTGTGACCTTGCCAAACCTGTTCGACCAGAGATAACAATAGGGCGAGTGAACACAATCCTTCTACCTTCAACTCTCTCTCTCTCTCTATCTCTCTTTTGCTTGGTTAAGACTCCTTACGGTAGCAAAGTTTCACTTCGAACTCCCTGAATGAGCTCTTCTAAATGGCCAGCTCTTTGGTTTCCTGGATACCTGATTGACTTTCTTTGCTGGGGAAGAGGTCATCGATTTGTGCTTCCTTTTCTCTGCTGTGGAAGATGGTTCTTTTGGACCCACATTTACGTTAAGAACTGCAGGAGATGTCCAGGACTGAAATCAATTTAACCCGGAGTAGCCAGGTAGGCTTTACGCTTTAGTCATTTCGTTGGTATTTTGTTTCTGAGAAGGCAGCAGTTAACTCTATCCTTACCATCCTTACTCTATGCGTTACTATTACTATTAATCTTCTCACCGATCCATCTCCTCCCACTTATGACTGTAGGACTGTAACTTCCTTGCTTGTATCCTTATGATTTATATTGTTTCCTAGTATGATTTGATAGCTTACTTGTACCATATGACTATCATTAAGTGTTGAACCTTACGATTCGTGACGAATGTAACTTTTCTTTTATGTACACCGAAAGCATCTGCACCAAAGACAAATTCCTTGTGTGTCCAGTCACACTTGGCCAATAAAGAATTCTATTCTATTCTGTTCTGTTCTGTTCTGTTCTACCAGAGATTAGCTTCCCTTCCTTTCTAAAGTTTTCATAAGTGCCAAAGCTAAACTGTGCTATAAACAGGGAGTCAATTTCTGCTAACATCCGTGGAGACAACAACAGATTTCTGGTGTGTGTGTGTGTGTGTGTGTGTGTGTGTGTGTGTGTGTGTGTGAGAGAGAGAGAGAGAGAGAGAGAGAGAGA